TTACCGCATTAGAGCCCATCTCAATGAGCACCGTATGATCCGGTGGTCTGAATACCATAAACACTCCAGTAGTTCATCCATTCACTCCAACCCTAATAATGATATTGAAGTGAATACCAGGTATATTCTGTATATTAAAATAAAACTTTTTAGTTTATAAATCTATATTACATTTGAGTTATATTCAACAATTAGCATTATGAGTTTAAAAATGGCTAAGCAAACTAATTTTACCAAATTGTCCACATGTTATATAAGAATACAATATTAACCTTATAAGTCAGAAATTTAGTAATGGTCACGTCAAATACAGTATACTAGTAATATAAATATTATGTAACTTGAGTGTATTAAATTTTAGTTATGTAAGTAAATGAATTTCTCGAAAATCATCAATAGTTGCAAAGCAAACACAATGAATATAGATTTCTAAATATAAACAATTTTTACAATCATTTCAATGGTTTTTATTGACTTCCAGTGTAATTGAACTAAATTCTTATAACTTAATATAAATAATGTAGGATTTATTTTTAGAAACTTATCTTTTTTAAATTATTTTTAAAAATTAATTAATAAATCTAAATATATCTTGATTCATGTTTTGAAAGATGTGCATATTTTATGTATTCTTATATTTCTCAAGAGTTTTTAATTATTTTTCAATTACTTTTATGTAGTAATATATTAATATTCATTATTCATTATAATATAATATTATTCATTCATTATATTCATATTCATTGATTGATATTAAATATTCATATATAATATTAAGTATATATTAATATAATTGACAAATTGGACTCTTAATTATGGATTTAGAGGGACAGTGAGCCAGGTAGTGACGTGTGAACCAAATACTGTCAACTGTTTCCTGACTCCCAGTTGTGAGAAGAGTTACTTCGATAAAGAGATTCGTCGGAACAATAGGATAACCATTTTCCTCATCACTCTGACCGTCATATTTGGCATTTCATGGCTTCCGTGGAATCTCTTCAATATTTATGTGGATTTTA